GCTCCTTGAGAGAAGGACCTAGCAGCCTGTCCCTGTAAAGATGACACCCTTGAGGGCTCTCTGCTGTCCCTGGAGCCACCATGAGTCGGAACAGACTTGATAGCACCTAATGCCACCAGTGACACAAACCGTTAGTGTTGGCCAAAAGGCTGGACATTGGAGTCCACTGAGGCACTTAGGAAGCAAAGCCTGGTGACCTACTTCCAAGGATCAGGGCCATGGAAAGTCCCAGGGAGTGTGCCACTCCTCCCGTGGGGCTGAGTTGGAATCAGAGTGGAGGAGACCTGAAGCTTGGGTTGGTACTAGATGTACTGTCATTTCTTGGCTAGTCCAGTTCCAGTGGAGAAAACTACAAGTCCCAGCAGGCAGTGGGGCTGCCTCTTACTGCTCACCCCCCAGTGGTTGCTGGGAATTGTAGTTCCCTGGGTGGCGGTGAGGGAGGGGCATGGTGGGCAGGCAGGTCACCGGACTGACCCAGTCCTCGTGCCCTGCCACCTTCAGATCCCCAGCCTGAGTCACAGTGTGCTGTCACAGACCAGCTTCAGGGCTGAATACAAGGCCAGCGGTGGCCCCTCCGTCTTCCAGAAGCCCGTCCGCTTCCAGGTGGACATCAGCTCCTCCGAAGGCCCAGAGCCCTCCCCACGCAGGGACGGTGGTGGTGGTGGTGGCATCTACTCCGTCACCTTTACGCTCATCTCCGGTGAGTCTCCCCTCCCGCCCAGCAAGAGGCAGGGCCTTAGTTGTCGATTGATGCTACAGAAGAAGCATCCCAAGGAGACGGTTTTCAGAAACAGACGTTTATTTTCTCACCGTGAGGAGGGTCGACATCTGAATTCAAGGCAGGACCCTTGTCCCTTGGATTTCCGCACCTCCCCTTACTGGTGGTGTAGTGGATTCCACCTGCTGCGCTGAGAAAGATGAGTCTATCTCCTCCTGCGAAGATTTGCAGCCTCCAAACCCAAGATCAGGTCCCTGTGAAGCAGAAAACAGCCCTAGTGGTGCAGTAGTTACACCTTGGGCTGCTAACCCTGAGGTCAGCAGTTCAAAACCACCAGCTGATCTGTGGAAGGCAGACAGACTTGGAAACCTGGTAGGGGCAGTTTTACTAAGGGAGTCCTGGTGCGATCGTGGTTCCGCATTGGGCTGTGATCCACAAAGACAGCAGTTCAAATTCACCAGGTCCTCTTCCGGAGAAAGACTGGGCTTCCTTCTCCGGTAAACAGTGACAGTTTCAGAAATGCCCAGGGGCAGTTCTACAAGGTCCTGTCACAGGGTCGCTTCCCAACAGAGGAGGAACAGTGGGACCCCACACTGGGTGGTGTGTGTGTGTGTATTTCTTAGAAGGACTGAGTGCCACCCCCGGACACTCTGTCTCCCTGCAGGTCCCAGCCGGCGGTTTAAGCGCGTGGTAGAGACCATCCAGGCACAGCTGCTCAGCACGCACGACCAGCCCTCGGTGCAGGCCCTGGCAGGTGGGTGGCCGTGGCTGTAGGCAGCATTCCCCTCTCCTGTCCCACAGGCGGGGGGCCAGGACCAATGGCGTAGTGCCCCTCCATGCAGCCTCCTTCAGTAAAGATTTCTGGCCTCGGAGACCTTGGGGGCCGTTCTATGAACCAGAGTGGACTGGAGAGGAGAGGGTTGGGTTTGGGTTGAAGGGGCCTTAAGCAGACACCCTTCCAGAGACCTGGTGGCTCCTTATACCAAGGGGGGCACCACCAGTCACCTCCACCCTCACTGCTTACGCTGTGGTCCCTGTTCTCCAGGATCCAGCCCCCGGAGTGTGGAACTGGACCCAGCACCTCAGCATCCCACTCCCTCTTCCCCATCCTGAGCTGCTCCCAGGATGCCACTCATTCTCAGGCCCAGCCACCCGCCACCTCGCTCTGTCCCCCACCCCCCATGGGTTTATGATTATTATTTTGCCTAAGTGACTCAGATTCGCAGTGAGCCAGACTGTCCTTACACCGGTCACTTTTTATGACATCCAGAGGGGTACAGACAAAGAGATATGCAGAAGTGAATCCAGACCCTGGGCTTGTCCAGCTTCTAGAGGACACTCGCATGCCTAGGCTCCTAGTCTCTCCCTCCACCTTCAAAGCCCAGCACCACTGCCTCCCTCTGACCGGCATGTTCTACAGCCTTCCTCCTTCTGGCCCTGCCTGACCTTTTCTTAGGAAAGGTTCTTTTCAGGACACCTAGGAGTAAGACAAGGACCCTGGTGGCCCAGGAGATTGGTAGTTGGGCTGCTAACCACAAGGTTAGCAGTTCAAACCAACCAGCCGCTCCCACAAAGAGCGACCACTGGGAGACTGGGTGGGGCAGTTCAACCCTTGTCCCAGGGGATCGCTATGAGTCGAATCAAGGACTCAGCAGTGGGGTGAAACGTCTGTTACCCTTCTCTGGTGTGGTTGCCAAGGACAACCAGTAAACGTGTTAGCTCCCCCGTTCCCCCTTGAACTTTTCCTAAGGAAAGCTGATCCTGGAAACCGGGGACCCCCGTTAAAGGTCAGAAACTCATTTAAGAGCTTGGCCAGTAGGCACCCTTATCTACCTTCATTCCCCTTATAAGGAAATGGGGGACCCCAGACTCTGTCCTGTAAGTGCCAAGAGGCCCCTGGCAATCCTTTCATGCGGCCGGGTTACTGGAAAAATGTTTCAGGACCTGGAGAAATCTCCAGATGGTGACCAGTGTGACCACCACAGGCCCCAGTAGTGAGTGGTCTCACTTTGGGAGCTCCAAAAGGGAGAACTTGTCTGGCCTCCCTAGGACGGCCCTGAGACCCCAAGAAACTGGCCAGGAATGCCCCCTAGTAGCCAGGGCTGATCCTTGTTTGTTGCCCAAGCGAGCTGTCCTGTATCAAATAGTATGGGAACCAGAGTTTCTAAGGCTTCCTAAGAAGTGAGGTGTGCTCCAAATCGCACACGGGCCTGTTTTCGAAGCTGCAAGGGCTGGAGAGGGCTTGGGTTGTAAGCCCGTTCTGTTGTAGGGAAGCCAGGTCCTGTTGCTAAGGTGTGTCCCCATCGCCGAGGGCTCCTGACTTTTCAAGCCCTATAATGGAAACCTAAGCTTTGAGAGGATTAATTAATAAGTTCTTTAGAGTCACAGCTTTGGAGATAATGAGCTCAACTCGTAAGGGGACCCTCCCCCACCTCCTCCATACTGGGAACCTCAACCTGGGGCTCTGTGACCCCAGGGCCTCCCTGAAACCCCTTCCTCCCTCACAGACGAGAAGAACGGTGCCCAGACCCGGCCTGCGGGCACCTCGCCCCGAAGCCTGCAGCCCCCGCCGGGCCGTCCAGATCCAGAGCTCAGCGGCTCTCCCCGCAGAGGCCCTCCCAAGGACAAGAAGCTCCTGGCCACCAACGGGGCCCCTTTGCCCTGACCCCAGGGGGCTGGGGAGGGAGGGGGACCCCCCTCCACCCCCCTTCCCTGCCCCCAACTGTGAATCTGTAAATAGGGCCCAAGGAGTAAGTGGGGGGGGGGAGACTCAAAAATTCCGGCCTTGCCCTGCAGGGATGGGGCTCAAGGGGCCATGCCCAAGGGGGGGTGGGTGGTCTAGGGGGAACTGGGGGCGGGGGAGCTGTTTCTATTTTATTTATTGATTAATTTATTATTTTATTTATTGATCAATCTCTCAGTGGGGTGGGGTGGGGGAGGGACTGGGAGCTGGTTGGGGTGGCTTAGCAGATCCGGACAGGGCTGTCTGTCCCCATGTCCCCAACTTCCCCTCCCTTCTATGACACCCCCCCTCCCCCTGGTTCTCCCTTTCCCTCCCCGCCTCCCACACGACTGTTCTGTACGGATTTGCTCTCCGGAAGGAATTCTGGTTTCGCGTGATCCTGCCTGCGTCCTTGTCTCTGATTCCGCCGGCGGCAAAACAAACAAACAATAAATAAATAACCTTGATCAGGGATTGCAGCCTGGCGTCGAGCTCTGGCTTCCTGGCCGCAGGGCCGGCTTGGGTGCACCCTCGGCCCCCCAACCGTGGCAGCAACAGGATGGCATCATGTCCATCGCCCACATGTCCACTGGGCTCCAGGCAAGGACTAAGGGCCACCCTCCTCTCCGCAGCCTGCTAGCCCGCCTCCCCGGTGGTGGGGCCTGGGGTCGGATTCGCCTCTGTTTCTTCGGGCCCGGCTGGTGAGCATCCCAGGCAGGTCTCCTGGGAGTGCTGCTCCCGCAGGGAGCTGGGGGAGACGGGCGGCGGGGGGCCGAGGCGACGGGCAGTCCGGAGGCACAGGGTGCAGCTGTCCAGCAAGGAGAAGTCGAAAGCCAAAAGGCCAGCGAGTGTGAAGAGCAGCATGGCCACCGTCCACTCGCAGCCCGCTGAGGCCGAGCGCAGCCACCGCCAGCGGTGCAGGACGGTCACTTTACACCAGCGTCAAGGGCCTGAGCGCACACAGCACGTCCCCGCGCGCGCGCGCACGCCCCGAGAGGCGGGGCCCCGTGGGTAGTCGGTCACCCCGGGCAGGGTGAGGCCTAACTGGGGAGCCTCGCGGGGTGCAGAGCGGTTCCCCGATGATCCGACACCAAGGCTCTCCATATGGTGCCTAGCCACCAGGTCTGCGGCCTGTAAAATTCCCCTCAAACCCGGCGCCCTGGAAGCATCACTGGGCTACATGTCCACTGGCGACCACCAGGTTGATGCCCACCAGGTGCCCCAGCAGGAGACAGGTGAGACTGTCTGCAGGGCAGCGCCGGTCTGTCTGACAGGGCCACTGTGAGTCGGAATGGACCCGGGGGCAGGGAACTTGTCTGAGCTTAGAGGGCGCCAACCGTCGTGCCCCAATCAAAGCTAGCAGCCGACAGCACCTGTAATCCGGGCTCTCAAAAGGTTCCCTAGGAAAGGGTGGCGTCAGGACCCTGGACAGCGACACAGACGCGGCCCTCTTTGATTGGGGTACGGCTGGTTGACTCCTACCTCAAACCAGACCAAGCCGGAGCCATTGGGGGAATTCTGACCCAGAGGGGACCCTAGAGGGCAGCGTAGACCTGTCCCATCGTTCTTCGCAGGTTCGAACCACCAACCTCGTGGGTTAGCCCAGGGTTTAATCCACAGCATGTCACTACAGGCTCTTTTCCTCTTCCTCCAAAAGAGTAAAATTCAGAACTCACTGCCGTCGAGTTGATTCTGAATCATAGATCCTATAGGACAACGTAGACCTGTCCATGTGGGTCTCCAAGACTTACTCTTCATGGGAGTAGACCCTGTAATTAGCAGCCCAACGCCGCACCCCACTCACGGCCATGAGTCCCTGCTGACTCATAGTGACCCCTGTGGATTTCCCAGACTGAAACTGTTGACAGGAGTAGAAAGTCCAGTCTTTCTCCCTAGGAACCGGTTGGTGGTTTTGAACTGCCGACCATGTGGGTGGATGGCAGCCCGATCTGGTGACCCTGGGCTCCTTGTTTATCCTCCAAAAACCCAAACACACTGCCATGGAGCCAATTCTGAACCAGCGATCCTATAGGGCAGGGTCGAACCATGGGTTTCCAAGACTGTAACCCTCTACGGGGGTAGAAAGCCTCATCTTTCTCCCTCTGAGCGGCTAGTGGTTTCAAACTGCTGACCTTGCGGTTAGCAGTGCAAGGCATAACCCACTACACCACCAGGGCTCCTTGACAACACAGGATGAAGACGGAAAAGCGACCCATTGTTGCACTGCGGCCTGCAGGGTGGACAACAACGTGACGCACAAACCTAGACCGTTGTGTGCTGACCCAACAAGTGACCGAAGCAGGGCGTGTGCACAGGCTTCTGGGAAAATGATTTTTTGTAAAAGTAATAAAATAATAATAAAATTAAAATGCCACACTTACAGAGTGCAGGTCAGTGGAATGCAGTTAATAAAATAAAGTACGCAGGGCTAGGCAGGAAGGTCGCCGCTTCTGACCCGCCCAGAGAGGTGACCCGACCGCAGCCCAGGACATCTGCTTCTCAAAGGTCGCCCAGCCTTGAAAGTCCTGTGAAGCAGTCCCACTCCAGCGGGCCAGCAGGGAGAACCCGGAAGGCCGTGGTTCTTATCCACCTTCTCATGGACGTTCTTTCAAGATTGCCTCCAGCTGCCATCGTGCCCAAACAATCGCCTCCTCTTTACCTGGACCAGGTGGAAGCCCTGCCCGCCCCCAGCTGAGCCGGGCAGCACAATGGCCTCGGTGCTCAAACCAGGCGGTGCCAACACACAGGCGTGCCTAGGTGGGCATGGGAAGCCAGCCAGCGATGCCCCTGAAGATAGCCTGGCTACCTGTGTCTGAAAGGCACTACCCTGATAGCCCCGGCTGTTGGAACTCCCGCGAGAGTCCAGACGACTCACGTGACTAGAGCATCCTCGGTTTGGTTAAGTTTGGGAAGAGGAGAGGGGTCAGGGGCAGGACTTTCCAGGCAGGGTTAACAGGCTGGTTTTGTAAGTTGCAGCACCCACCCACCCACCAAGCACCCCCATGCTGTAAAGGGGTCACGTGCTTGACTCTGAGCCAAAAGGTCTGTGGTTCGAGTCCACTGACAGGCACCTCAGAAGGAAAGGAGGCCGGGCTCACGCCTTCCAAAAATCCAGCCACCTACACGCGGAGTCGCGTCCGATCCAGCCTTTCTTACCTGCTCGCGGTAGGCGCGCCGCGTGTGAGGGTCACGTGGACACCAACTATCGGCAACCGGGGCCCACGGGGTCCCCTCGTGGGTGCCCAAACGGGATCCAGTCTCATCCTTTGGAGATCTTCCTTTGACCCCGCGGTCCCCACCTCCCTGACAGCTCCAGCAACACACCAAGCAGACACTTTGGAGCCCCGACCCACCCACCTTGCCTCGGCTTCCGATCTACCTGGATCTCGGGAGCGCCATTCACCTGGCGGAGCCTGTCCGCCACCTGCCCACCCCTCACCTTGTCACCAGGTGCCCCTTGTCCACCTCATTTTAAACACGTGGATTCCAAACCACAATTCAAAAGAACTTCACAACAGCAACCACGCTTAGTAACCTCTGGGTTTCACAGCGCATAGAAACGTCAGGTTACACTCTGCTGTGGGGCCACACTCTCTCCTGTAGTATTGTTACAGTGTTTCCTGGGTGGTGAGTTTCCTGTATTGCTAGTGTCTCCTGTATTGTGACACTGTCACACTGTCTGGTATATGGTTACACTGTCTCCTGTGTGTTCACACTCACTCCTGTAGTATTGTTACACTGTCCCCTGTATTGTTACACTGTCTCCTCTATTGCTACACTCCTTCCTGTGTGGTCACACACTCTCCTGTATTGTGACACTGTCTCCTGTGTGCTCACACTGTCCCCTGTAGTATTGTCACATTCTCTGCTGTGTTGTGACATTGTCTCCTGTGTGAGAACACTACACAGTGGGGAATGCCCTCCCCACCCCTTCCCCACAAGTTGTTATGAGTTGATTCTGACTCCTGGCCACACCTGTGTTACAGACTCTGGGGGGAACTTAGACTCTGCCCAGGGGTAAGTGCTTACAACCAGCTCCCCCTCAAAAAGCTCCCCCTGTCATTGAGTCCGTTCTGACTCACAGTGACCCTGCAGGACAGAGAAGAACTGCCCCTGTGGCATTCCAAGAGTGTCAATCCTTAGGAGAACAGAAAGCGCCAATTTTGTCCCTTGGAGCAGCTGGTGGTTTTGAACTGCTGGCCTTACAGTTAGTACCCCAACGCGTAACCACATGCCACCAGAACTCCTCATTGGTACACTACACAACATTAAAGAAAATTAAAGGACCTGCCAACATCCCATAGTACAGATAAACCTGGAAGGCATTTTAAAAAATCATGCTATCGAATAAATTCCAGCTCATAGTGAATTTACAGGATAGATTACAACTGCCCCTTTGGGTTTCTGAGACTCTAATTCTTTACGGGAGTACAAAACCTGATCTTTCTCCCAAGGAGTGGCTGGTGGTTTAGAACCGCAGACCTTGAGGTTAGCAGCCCAATGTGTAACCTACCATGGCTGCTTTCCTTAAAATTAACAACAAAACCAAGCTCACTACCATTGAATCGAAGCTGAGCCAGCGTGATTCCTATAGGACAGGGTAGAACTGCCCCGGGGGGTTTCTGAGACTAATTCTTTACAGGAACAGACAGCCTCACTTTCTCCAGCAGAGCCGCTGGTGGTTCTAAACTGCTGACCTTGTGGATCACAGCCCACTACACAGCCCAGGTGCCCTCAAGGCTCCTCCCCGTACTATTAGCCTCTTAGACATTGGCACTGGCATGTGGCTTGTTCATTAGAGGCTGGATTGTCCATAGTCCACCCATTTTCTCTACAAACTCCTTCTTGATCCTCGGATCTAATCCAGGCCACACCCGTGCAGACACTGATCTGGCTTTTTGTTTCATTTGGTTTTGCTTTATCACTTTAAAAATGTTTTAATTAAAAAGTAAAAATTTTAATGTTTAAAATTCCAAGGAACCAAAAAAAAAAAAAAAGAATCAACCATTTTCAACGACTCCTTCAAAGGAAGGGCAGGAGAAGCAATCGGCTACAGATGGGTAGAGGTTAACTTGGGTGACCACAACCAACCAACGTCACGACCATCCATCGAGTGGATTCTGACCCACCAGGGACCCTGTAGGACAGAGTGGAACCGCCCCTGTGGGTGTCTGAGGCTATTAATCTTTATCAGAGCAAACAGCTTCCCCTTTGGCCTTCAGAGCAGCTGGCGGTTCTGAACTGCTGACTTTGTGGTTAGCAAGCCAACACGTAATCCACGATGCCCCCAGGGCTGCTTGGGGTGGGGGGCATTAGGAAACAAAACTGCCACGGAGTCCCTGCCAACTCACAGCGACCCTAGAGGACAAGGCAGAAATGCCCCTGTGCGTTTCTGAGACTGCAACTCCCTAGGGGAGTAGAAAGCCCAGTCTTTCTCCCCAGCCAGGGGCCGAAGGTTTCGAACTGCCAACCTTCAGGTTAGCATCTCAATGTGTGATCGCTGGGTCGCCGGAGTTTACCCAGAGTGAAATAAGCTCATCATAAAAGGGAGATCAACATAAATCAAGAGGAGGTTTACATACAGAAAGAAATGCTCTTTGGGCGAGCGGGGTGGAGAAGCAACGTTCTTAGCTGGGTACCGGGCTGGAAGGGCAAATCAATCAGTAGAGAGAAGACAGCTATTGGCATGAACCAAGGGGACCGGGAAGGCAATGTGAGTCAGAGGGAGGGCAGCGCAGGATGACCGAGGCCAGGGGGACACTGCTGCCCTTGCTCTGGGAGATGCATTCGCAGGAGCTGTACATATCCCAGGACCTGGTAGAGCATCCCGGGCAGGGGCAGCGGCAAAGTTCGGGATACTTAGCGAAAGCCACACAGTGTGACCGAATGAGTCACCTGGCTTGGCAACTTTGGGCACAGACTCAGGCTA